ATAATTACATCAGAAACCAAAGTGTCAACAAGATTCCCAAATGCAAATCATCAAGCACGGAATGACCAATCAAACAAAGACTGATTGGAGCCAACAGACTTCATTCTATCAGAAGGAGAGCAAGTGTCCTAAAATATACACTTGTTTCTTTCTTTCTATATGACCCAAAAAAAAGTATGGCACTAAAAACTTTTTTCTCTATTTACAAGCTTTAATACCCAACCAAGCCCAATTATCTCGCTTAATCGACCTAGTAATCGCTAAAGTTTAGTTTAGAAGGCTTTACACTAAATCTTACAACTAGACTCACTTTGATCAAGAGTACACTACCGAATTTACCTATATATTACATTTCTATTTTGACTATTCCGGTAAGCATTGCGGCTAAATTTGAAAATATTCAATGTAGGTTCCTTTGGGATGATGGGGAGTGGTATAGAAAATATCATTTGGTGAAATGAGAAGATGTGAAAAAACCTATTAGGGATGGGGGTCTCAGTTAAAGATCTATTACGGAGATGAACTCTGCACTCTAGGGGAAGTGGCTGTGGAGGCTTCTTATTGACGAGGAGAAGTTGTGGAAGAGGGTGGTGAAGGTGAGATGGGGTGATTGGGAAAGGGATGGGGGAAGGACAGGTAGGTATAGACCGCATGGTATGAATTTGTGGAAGAAAATAAGGGGTGACAGCAACGTTTTCTTGAATTTTATGGGCTGGCAGGTGGGTAATGGCGGGGAGATCCGGTTCAGGCAGGATGAATGGGTGGGAGATTTCAAGTTAAAAGACTGTTTTCCTAGAATTTGTGCTATTGCCAGCGGTAAGGATTTTATGATGGAGAAGGCATATGGGGCGGTTGACGGGGGTAGGGCTTGGAGTGTTCGAGTTAATAGAAATTTACAGGATTGGGAAGTGGAAGATTACTGCAATTTACTTCTCTGTTTGGCCAACATTAACTTGGCTGAAGACAAAGTGTGTGGAAATTGGATGAGAAGAGAGGGGCTTATCGGTGAAATCTTTCTATAAATTTTTATCCAAGAGAGATGGTAGAGATAGTATGACAGCACCTTTTAAGCAGATTTAGAAGTCCAAAGCTCCCCCTAGAATTGTTTTCTCTGCTTGAGAAGTCTCAAAAGAATGTATTGACTCTTGACATGTTAAGGAGGAGAGGTAACACTTTGGTTAATAGGTGCTACTTATGTAAAGCTGATAAGGAATCATGTTAACACTTGTTACTTGGGTGCCCAGTGACGTACACATCTGGTCTACAGTGTTTGGGATTATGTGGCTGAATTGGGTCATAGCAGGTAGTGTAAGTGAAGAGCTGTGGGCATGGGTGAGTTTTTGTAAAAAGAAATGACATTTATTCCTTATTCAACTTACTATTTTTTTGGGTAGTTTGGAAGGAAACAAATGCTAAACATTTTGGAAAATAGAGACTAACTTTGTAAACATTAAAAATAGATGGTTTCATACTTTTACCCCTATTTTGTTAGGTCATAACATTAAAGATTGGGAAAATATTGATTTAGTCATTGACCACTTGATTGATATGTAACTATTTTGTATATGGGTGGTAACCCCTTGGTATCTATGTGTATAATAATATTTCACTTTTATTTCAAAAAGAAGAACTAAATCCTACAACCTTTTAACGTCTTAGCACCATAGGAGAAGAAAACTGGAGACTTCTTAGCTCTCTTCCTCAAGTTGTCTTGGTAAGAATTCTTTCAAAGTTGCTTCCCAAAACCCAAAAAAGGGCCATTGATGAGAATTATTGCTTTTCTGTGGCTCAAGTGACTCACTACAAACAACTTAATTTTTTGGCACCAAATAATTTGGGTTCACAAAATTATTTAGACCAGTGATATCTATACTTAAGGCATTACCAATAATATCAGATATATTTCAGCCTAGTTTGTCTCACTATGTGAATGCTCAACTCCCTAACTACAAACAACATAAGCTTGAGTTCTATAGAACTAATGGTTTGGAAGTTGTTGATTAATGGTGTTGAGAATCAATGTATAACATACGCATAGGTAATAAAAAAAATAAATGAGGTGAAATACTTTAAGCAGAAGCGAAAGCAAATGTCCAACAGCAACTGAAGCAGTTTGTGACCGTAAAAATGCAAGCAAGCATTCTCCAGGTTCTGCATCATATTTTGATGGACTAGTAATTGTTGTTTGGAAACTTCGACCATCTGACAGTGCAGGCAAGCAAAAAGAACGTTTACATGAACAAGACAGACTACCGCATGGAAGTAAGCTCAAAATCAAGGCCCTGAAACACTTTATTACTCCCTCACGGAACTCTTCTGCAGCCTCAGATGGAGTTAACAATGCTGCATCAGTTAGCTTCTTGAGAATCATAACAATCTGCAACAATAAACAATCACAACTCACCTTCAAAACCTTGTTATTTTACTTGGATGTTGCAAACAAAGCAATCCAGCATTAAGAATCCACAATATGATTATATACGCGAAAAGTTTTTCATAAATATCTTGATCGATGTTTAACAAACTCCGAGAAGAGTGTTTTACATTCCTATCAAATTAGAGAAACAAGACCCATGCTCCTATTAATCTATATTTAATTAAAGGAGTTAAAATTAGATAATATAAAACACAAACATATGGGTGCCAGTCCAAGTACAAGTTATGCTTTGTTTCCAAGGAAGTTACCTGATCCACTGATCCTAGATGGCATTTCTTAAGAAGTTCCTCTAGACACTGGATCACTCCTTCTGCCACTTTATCACTCACTTTATAAGGTGTTTTTGGGACATCATGCAAATGAAATCTCTCATCTGAATCATCCTTCAGCTGACCTCTGCAACGAACTGCAGCATCCAAAAGAAGCAGCAAAGGAAACAAGGTATAGCTGAAACATAATGCAACATGTTAAACCAATATCTCTATCTAAGAACATTGGTCATAAAATGCTGCAAGAGTTGTAGATTGTCAGTATGAGAATCCTTTTTCATCAAAAAATCAGACCACATGCATAGAGACAGAAATGAGCAAGATATATCCACTTCTTCCAGGATGAGAATAGAAAATTTTGCAACTTGCAGCAATTCCAGAAGTTACATGAGTATTCCTCACAATCGGTTACTTCTAACAGGCCAAGATCCTTTATTCTGCATTCTATATCCTCAAGTCAAGTGTGTCCTCAAGTCCCTATTTACAACAAATTATTCTTCTTTTTTAAGGATGAGAAAAGAACCATTATTAGAAACGGAAGGAAAAAGGAATAACAAGAGACGACAAGAAATCCTCCTGAAGCACTTTAAGGATGTTCCTTTATTAGTTGTATGTAGAGATTGACGAGCTATTCTCTCCCATCACTAGCTTGCCTTTCTCCTTTTCTGTTCCTGTTGGCAGATGCCTAATTCTCCTTTTCCTGTATCTCTTTCTTCCTATTAATATATATCTTACTTTTTGATCCAAAAAAGAATCTCCTAAAACAAATAAAAAGTTTAGAAAAAAAATCAAAACAATTACGCCTGCCGAAAATAGCCAAAGAGATATATTTAAGAAAATCATGAGCCTTGGCCCATAAATTAGCAAAGAAAACCATTCCTCTCTATAAGAAAGAAAAAGGATGATAATGATCTTGGAAAATCTAGTGTTATTCTCCAATGCCAACACATACAATCCAGTGAAGGTAGCTCATTGCTAAAACATGCTAACCTCCCTCTTCTATTCAACTCCCTCAAGGAAACTAGAGAAGGAACAATCAAGGGGCAGCGACCTAGCATAAACCAGAAGTATCAAAAGGACTAGACCAGACCCTCAGCTACCTCACATGCAGAAGGGGGAAAAAAGTGATTATAGAAAGAAGAACTTTTGCTTGTTTCTTTTTTATTAGAACCTGTGGAGGAGGGAATTTGTTCTTTTGCAACATTTGGCATATTCGTTGCTATTAGTTTGTTCAATATGTCTGGATATTCATCAACCTCCATTTCATAATAGCAAACCTATGGAAAAGACATGTATCGCCATCAACCTCCTTGACCCATTGAACTCTAGACTTCTTTCTCCAACTAATTTCCTATTTCATAAAAAGCTCCTCAAATTCATTCTGCAAGAGGAAAATTTACCCAATTGTTCCTTATATCAACTATTAGAGGTCTGAGAGATTTGAGGAACGACTGGTTGGATGAAAAAGAAATATTTTATCTAAAGAGGGCAGGCTCACTCTTGCCAAGAGTACTCTTTGAAATCTTCCAATTTATTACTTGTTTGTCTTAACTATCCCAGTCAAGGTTGCAAAGAGGTTAGAATCAATTCAGAGCCAATTCCTATGGGGCAATGATGAAGGTAGAAGGAAGTACACTTAGTGAAGTAGAACGAGGTGAAGTTACCTTTCAAGGGGGGAAGGATTTGGGGGTGAGATTTTTAATAAAAATGAACATGTCGCTTCAGGGAAAATGGGTTTGGAGGTACTTGGGCCAGAAGAATTTCCTTTAGAGAGTGGTAGATGATTGATGGGGTATTGATTCTGTCACCAATAACAAAGTCTATTTTCAATTTGAAAAATTGAAAAACATAAAACCTAAATTTTCAGTAGCATTTGAATGGAACTTTAGCAAAATGGGAAATTTGCACCACTATCATCATTCCCATTTACCGCA